ACCTTTTACGACATTCGCTCTTTACGGCCGGCTTTACGACAGTCGCGCTTTACGGCACCTTTTACGACATTCGCTCTTTACGGCCGGCTTTACGACAGTCGCGCTTTACGGCACCTTTTACGACAGTCGCGCTTTACGACACCTTTTGCGACAGTCGCAATTTACGGCACCTTTTACGACAGTCGCAATTTACGGCAGGTTTTACGACAGTCGCGCTTTACGGTACCTTTTACGACAGTCTCGCTTTACGGCAGGTTTTACGACAGTCGCAATTTACGGCACCTTTTACGACAGTCGCAATTTACGGCACCTTTTACGACAGTCGCGCTTTACGGAACCTTTTACGACAGTCGCGCTTTACGGCACCTTTTACGACATTCGCTCTTTACGGCCGGCTTTACGACAGTCGCAATTTACGGCACCTTTTACGACAGTCGCGCTTTACGGAACCTTTTACGACAGTCGCGCTTTACGGCACCTTTTACGACATTCGCTCTTTACGGCCGGCTTTACGACAGTCGCGCTTTACGGCAGGTTTTACGACAGTCGCGCTTTACGGCAGGTTTTACGACAGTCGCGCTTTACGACACCTTTTGCGACAGTCGCAATTTACGGCACCTTTTACGACAGTCGCAATTTACGGTACCTTTTACGACAGTCGCAATTTACGGCACCTTTTACGACAGTCGCGCTTTACGGCACCTTTTACGACAGTCGCAATTTACGGCACCTTTTACGACAGTCGCGCTTTACGGCACCTTTTACGACAGTCTCGCTTTACGGCAGGTTTTACGACAGTCGCGCTTTACGGTACCTTTTACGACAGTCGCGCTTTACGACACCTTTTACGACATTCGCTCTTTACGGCCGGCTTTACGACAGTCGCAATTTACGGCACCTTTTACGACAGTCGCGCTTTACGGCCGGTTTTACGACAGTCGCGCTTTACGGCACCTTTTACGACAGTCGCGCTTTACGGCACCTTTTACGACAGTCTCGCTTTACGGCAGGTTTTACGACAGTAGCAATTTACGGCACCTTTTACGACAGTAGCAATTTACGGCACCTTTTACGACAGTCGCGCTTTACGGCACCTTTTACGACAGTCGCAATTTACGGCACCTTTTACGACAGTCGCGCTTTACGGCACCTTTTACGACAGTCGCGCTTTACGGCACCTTTTACGACAGTCTCGCTTTACGGCAGGTTTTACGACAGTCGCGCTTTACGGTACCTTTTACGACAGTCGCGCTTTACGACACCTTTTACGACATTCGCTCTTTACGGCCGGCTTTACGACAGTCGCAATTTACGGCACCTTTTACGACAGTCGCGCTTTACGGCACCTTTTACGACAGTCTCGCTTTACGGCAGGTTTTACGACAGTCGCAATTTACGGCACCTTTTACGACAGTCGCGCTTTACGGCCGATTTTGCGACAGTCGCGCTTTACGGAACCTTTTACGACAGTCGCGCTTTACGGCACCTTTTACGACATTCGCTCTTTACGGCCGGCTTTACGACAGTCGCAATTTACGGCACCTTTTACGACAGTCGCGCTTTACGGCACCTTTTACGACAGTCTCGCTTTACGGCAGGTTTTACGACAGCAGCAATTTACGGCACCTTTTACGACAGTCGCAATTTACGGCACCTTTTACGACAGTCGCGCTTTACGGCACCTTTTACGACAGTCGCGCTTTACGGCAGGTTTTACGACAGTCGCGCTTTACGGCACCTTTTACGACAGTCGCGCTTTACGGCACCTTTTACGACAGTCGCAATTTACGGCACCTTTTACGACAGTCGCGCTTTACGGCAGGTTTTACGACAGTCGCGCTTTACGGCACCTTTTACGACAGTCTCGCTTTACTGCAGGTTTTACGACAGTCGCGCTTTACGGCACCTTTTACGACAGTCGCGCTTTACGGCACCTTTTACGACAGTCGCGCTTTACGGCAGGTTTTACGACAGTCGCGCTTTACGGCACCTTTTACGACAGTCGCGCTTTACGGCAGGTTTTACGACAGTCGCAATTTACGGCAGGTTTTACGACAGTCGCGCTTTACGGCACCTTTTACGACAGTCGCGCTTTACGGCCGGTTTTACGACAGTCGCGCTTTACGGCACCTTTTACGACAGTCGCAATTTACGGCACCTTTTACGACAGTCGCGCTTTACGGCACCTTTTACGACAGTCGCGCTTTACGGCAGGTTTTACGACAGTCGCGCTTTTCGGCCGGTTTTACGACAGTCGCGCTTTACGGCCGGCTTTACGACAGTCGCAATTTACGGCACCTTTTACGACAGTCGCGCTTTACGGCCGGTTTTACGACAGTCGCAATTTACGGCACCTTGTACGACAGTCGCAATTTACGGCACTTCATTTTATGGAACTTTTAGGGCACTTAACGGCACTTTACAGGACTTTTCAGGTTTAATTACGCATAATTGATAAAAAATTTAAACAGTAACGTTTATTTTGTGAATTAATTTTTTTTGGTTTTTTTTTTTAATTTGTTCATTTTTACAGCTCTTTATTTTTATTGGTGCAGCCCAGACCAGCTCAAGCCGGTGCTTGTGGTGGTGTTTGAGGGTCCCCAGGACGAGGGAGGAGGTGAGAATCTTGGCTCCGTCTTTCACTAGGCTGATTTATTATTTTATGATCTCCATTACATTGAAAGAAAATGAGATATTGGAACTATGCCAGAAGAGCAAGGAGACCACAGGAAGCTGGAAAGGAATGAATAACAAAAACCTGGGAGTGCTCACAGCCCCGACACAGCTGCACCGTGATTGGTCATCCAGCATGAACATTGCACAGGCGACCAATCCCAGCTGCCGCTGTGGCTGAACCATCTCCGGCCCGCGCTCCGCAGCCGGCAGGCCGGGATTGGCTCCATTCCTGTTCTTCTCGGGTGAAAAACCCCAGGCAAGGATTTTCCCCAAACACGCCCGTGCCAGGCGGTGTCACAGCAGCGCCGGCTGCCCGGGGTCGCTGTGCCGTCCCTGCCAGTGCCAGCCCCGGTGTCACAGCAGCGCCGGCTGCCCGGGGTCGCTGTGCCGTCCCTGCCAGTGCCAGCCCCGGTGTCACAGCAGCGCCGGCTGCCCGGGGTCGCTGTGCCGTCCCTGCCAGTGCCAGCCCCGGTGTCACAGCAGCGCCGGCTGCCCGGGGTCGCTGTGCCGTCCCTGCCAGTGCCAGCCCCGGTGTCACAGCAGCGCCGGCTGCCCGGGGTCGCTGTGCCGTCCCTGCCAGTGCCAGCCCCGGTGTCACAGCAGCGCCGGCTGCCCGGGGTTGCTGTGCCGTCCCTGCCAGCCCCGGTGTCACAGCAGCGCCGGCTGCCCGGGGTCGCTGTGCCGTCCCTGCCAGTGCCAGCCCCGGTGTCACAGCAAGGGCAGAGAGCTCACCCTGCGCTCCCCCTGTGCTCCCCCTGCCATGCAGGGCAGGGCCAGCGGGCGTGGCAGGGGCGGGGAAAAGGGGGCGTGGTGAAGTCTGGGGCCTGGGCAGGTGGGCGGGGCTGTACGGGGGACCCCAAGGGCAGCCGGAGCCCCCGGCGCTGGCCACTCTTCTGGGAGAATTCAGTGCGGTTTTGGGACTTTTTAAGGCTTTTTCTGATGTTTTGGGAGGTTTTTTTTCTATTGTTGTGGCATTTGGGTGCTCTGGAGCGCACGTGAAGGTGGCAGCAGCAAAGCTGGGCCAAGTGAGGCAGGTGACACAGGTGACACACAGCTGACACACAGGTGACACAGAGGTGATACAGGTGATGCAGGTAACACACAGGTGACACAGGTGATGTAGGTAACACAGGTGACACACTGGTGACACATAGGTGGTAGGTGATGCAGGCGACACACAGGTGGCACAGAGGTGATGCAGGTGACACAGATAACACACAGGTGACACACAGGTGACACACATGGCTGCATTTCACAAATTCAGGACCCCAAAACCTCCTAAAATCCCTCAAAGCCCCCCCAAAATCCTTCCCACATCCCCGAGAGCCCCACGGGCCACCCCCAAAACCCCCACAAGGCCAAAAACGCTCCAATTCCCCTGAGGAACCCCTCAGAATCCCCCAAGTCCCCCCCAAAAAATGAGTCTGAGGCGGAGCCAAAGCTCATTGGCCGCTTTATAAAAAGGGGGGGCTCGGGGGCCCCCCCGTATCAACATATGTACAGGGGAGGGGGAGGGGCATGTACAGGTATTTACACCCCCCGGGGGTATTTACAGAGCTGATGGGGGGAGGGGCTGGCGCGGGAAGGGCAGACCCCCCTCACATCCCCCCCCCTCCCCCCTCGGCCGGATCCCAGCCCCTCCCCCCCCCAGACATGCCCCCCGAGTTTCTACAAGAAACAGCCAAAAAAAAAGGGAGGAAAAAGGAAAAAGAGCCTTTTTCTGGGGGGGGGGGGGAAGCGGTGACATCACTGCGATGATGTCACGGCGGTGTCGTGGTGACGTCATCATGGGCACTGCGCGGTGGGGGGGGGAGGAGGGGCGGCGGCGACGTCACGGCCGTCGGGGGAGGGGTCGATGGTGACGGTGACCCCCCAGGGCGTGGCCACGGCGATGACATCATTAATGGTGGCCAAAGGTCACCCAGGTGTCCCCTCTGCCAAAGGGCAGCTCCCGGCATCCTTGGGTCAGTGGTGGCCCCTCGGGACAGCCCTGGCGGCCAAACTGCGATGGAAGGGCAATGGCGGCACCCAAACACCGACCATGGTGGCCAAACACCAACCCTGGTGGTCAAACACTAACCATGGTGGCCAAACACCAACCTTGGTGGCCACAAGTCAACCCTGGTGGCCAAACACCGACCATGGTGGCCAAACACCAACCCTGGTGGCCACAAGTCAACCCTTGGTGGCCAAGCGCCGACCATGGTGGCCTAAAGTCAACCCTGGTGATCAAAGATCAGCTGTGCCACCCAACCACTGACCCTGGTGGCCAAACCCCAACGGTGGCCACCCCAAACCGCCCCTGGTGCCCAGCCGCGGCCCGGGCCAGCAGCCAGCCCCGGTTTGGGCCAGTTTGTGCCGTATCCGGGCTAGTTGAGCGTGCCGCGGCAGCTCTCGGTGCGGCACAGGCACGGGATCTTGGTGTCCTCGATGGGGAACTTGTAGTCGTAGGTGATCTCCTCGTTGACGCCGATGGGCTGCTTGGAGTAGATGACGATCTTCTTCTGCGCCTCGATGGTGATCACCTTGGCGTAGCAGTTGGGCTGGGGGGCACAGCGGGGTCAGCCCGGGCCCCAGACACGGCCAGGTCCTCAAACACCCCTGAAATGCCCCTAAAACCCCTCCAGGTACCCTCAGTAGCCCCAAAAACCCCTCCAGGTACCCTCAATAGCCCCAAAAACCCCTCCAGGTACCCTCAGTAGCCCCAAAAACCCCTCCAGGTACCCTCAATGGTCCTAAAAAACTCTTCCAGGTACCCTGAGAAATGCCCCAGTGCCCTAAAACCCCTCCAGGTGCCCTCACCGTGCAGCAGTGGTTGATGAATGATAGCTAACGCCATTAAACCCGGTTTAGCCCTGGTTTAGCCCAGTTTAAGCCCAGTTTAACCCCAGTTTATCCCAGTTTAGCCCAGTTTCTCTCACCATGCAGCAGTGGTTGGTGAATGATAATTAACGTTATTAATCAATCATTAAACCGTCATTAAACCTGGTTTAGCCTGGTTTAGCCCTGGTTTAAGCCCAGTTTAGCCTGGTTTATCCCGGTTTATCTCACCGTGCAGCAGTGGTTGACACTATTAATCAATCATTAAACTGTCATTAAACCTGGTTTAGCCGGGTTTAGCCCTGGTTTAAGCCCAGTTTAGCCTGGTTTATCCCGGTTTATCTCACCGTGCAGCAGTGGTTGATGAAGCGCGCCAGGTTGCCGCACTTGGTGGCGTCGATGATGGTGTCGTGGTCCACGCGGAACAGGTAACTGCTGCCGATGCCCTCCTGCGCGTAGCGCTTCTCACGCATGTCCGCCACCACCTGGGGACATTGAGGGGACACTGGGGACACCCTGAAGGGCTCTGGGGACACTGGGGACACCATGGGGACACCACGCGGAACAGGTAACTGCTGCCGATGCCCTCCTGCGCGTAGCGCTTCTCACGCATGTCCGCCACCACCTGGGGACATTGAGGGGACACTGGGGACACCCTGAAGGGCTCTGGGGACACTGGGGACACCATGGGGACACCACGCGGAACAGGTAACTGCTGCCGATGCCCTCCTGCGCGTAGCGCTTCTCACGCATGTCCGCCACCACCTGGGGACATTGAGGGGACACTGGGGACACCCTGAAGGGCTCTGGGGACACTGGGGACACCATGGGGACACCACGCGGAACAGGTAACTGCTGCCGATGCCCTCCTGCGCGTAGCGCTTCTCGCGCATGTCCGCCACCACCTGGGGACATTGAGGGGACACTGGGGACACCCTGAAGGGCTCTGGGGACACTGGGGACACCATGGGGACACCATGCGGAACAGGTAACTGCTGCCGATGCCCTCCTGCGCGTAGCGCTTCTCGCGCATGTCCGCCACCACCTGGGGACACCAAGGGGACATTGGGGACACTGAGGGGACATTGAGGGGCTCTGGGGACACCACGGGGACATTGGGGACACTGGGGACACCATGGGGACACCACACAGAACAGGTAACTGCTGCCGATGCCCTCCTGCGCGTAGCGCTTCTCACGCATGTCCGCCACCACCTGGGGACACCGAGGGGACACTGGGGACACACTGGGGCGGTTTGGGGACACCAAGGGGAAACCGAGGGGGACCCTGGGGGACACGCACCTGGCGAATGTTCTGCCCCACGTACTCGATCACCAATGTCTCATTTGGGGACACTGGGGCGGTTTGGGGACACCGAGGCAGTTTGGGGACACCGGGTGACGCTGGGGGACACGCACCTGGCGGATGTTCTGCCCCACGTACTCGATCACCATCTCGTCGGCCGCGATCGGCTCCATGGCGAACAGGCCCCACTCGTGGATGCGGCTGCGGCCGAAGCGGAGCCGCTTCTTGCGGAACTGCGGGGACACGGGGACGCGTCACCAGGGTGGGGATGGGACACGGGGACATGGTGACACCGGGGGTGACACCGGGGGCGACACCGGGGGTGACCCGAGGCCCCACCTTGAGCTGGTTGAGCTTGAGCAGGTCGCTGTCCGGCAGCGCGGCCGAGCCGATGGCGCTGAGCAGGCGCCGCTGCTCCGAGCGCCGCTCCGACAGCACGCGGTTGGGACCCTGCGGGGACAGCAGGGACACTGAGGGGACAGGGACAGGGACAGCACGCGGTTGGGACCCTGCGGGGACAGAGACAGCGCGGAGGGCACAGCAGGGACGCTGAGGGGACAGGGACAGGGACAGCACGCTGTTGGGACCCTGTGGGGACAGGGCTGGCACGGAGGGGACACCCAGGGGATACTGAGGGTGGCCGTGACCTCAGCGCCAGGCTCGCCTGCGTGTCAGGCGCGTCGGGGTCGGGGCGGGGCGCGGGGCAGGGCCGCAGGTAGCGCGGCGGCTGATGGGGTACTGGGGACACCGAGGGGACACCGAGGGGACACCGGGGGCTCACCTGCGTGTCAGGCGCGTCGGGGTCGGGGCGGGGCGCGGGGCAGGGCCGCAGGTAGCGCGCCTTCTCGCGGCGGCTGATGGGGTACCAGCCCTCGCTGCGCGCGCTGCCCGTGCGGTGCTCGCGGCTCTCGGGCCAGCGCCGGCGCCGGCGGCCGCTGCGGCTGCTGCGGCACCGCGGGCTGCTCCAGCGCGTCAGTGCGGGCACGTCAAGGAGAACCGGGACAGGAGGGAGAAACGGGATAACTGGGAGAAACGGGATAACCGTGAGAAACGGGACACCAAGGACAACCGGGACAACCGGGAGAAACAGGATAATCAGGATAACCGGGATAACCAGGAGAACTGGAACACCAAGGACAACCGGGACGCACCAGGAGAAACCGGATCATCGAGATAACTGGGACACACCAGGACACCAAGGCCAACCGGGACACACCGGGATAAACGGGACAATCAGGAGAACCAGGACAAGCGGGATAAACGGGAGAACTGGGACAGCAACGACAACCGGGAGAACCGAGATAACTCGCATGCACTGGGATAACCAGGAGAACAGGGACACCAGGACACCAAGGACAACGGGGACAAGCAGGATAACCGGGATAACTGGGACGCGCTGGGAGAACCGGGACAAGCGGGACACAGGGACAACCGGGACAAGGACACCAAGGACACCAAGGACACCAAGGACAAGCAGGACACATGGAAAGGACACCAGGGACAAGGACACCAGAACAAGCGGGTCAAGCAGGACAACGGACACTGAGACAAGGAGAGCTGGGACACCGGGACAAGGACAACCAGGACAACTAGGACAAGGGCACCACAGCATGCCAGGAGGGCAGGGGACAGAACCCAGCACCCCCAGTACTCACTGCCACCAACCCAAGGGGACCGTCCCCATTGTCTGTCCCTATGTCCCCATGTCCCCAGCTGTCCCCAGCTGTCCCCATCTCCAAGGATATCAGTGTGCGGCACCCAGTGGGTGTCATTCAGCCAGTGCGCGGCCCCGTCCTGCTGCAGCAGCCGCTCGTAGGTGAGCCGCAGGAACCGCGCGTCCTCGGCGTCCAGCCCGGCGCTCCAGATGTCGTACAGGATCGTCATCTGCTCGAACTCGCTGCGCGGCGCGAACGCCACCGCGGCCGCCGGGGACGCGGCGCCATCGCCATTGCTGTCACCGCCGCTGCGGGGGCGCAGCCAGCGCCGGCCGCCGTCGCTGTCGCTGCTGTCGCTGCTGCTGTCGCTGTCGCTGCTGTCGCTGTCGCCCTCCTCATCCTCGCTATCGCTCGAGGACGACGGCGGCGGCGCCGCCCGGTGCCGTTTGCGCCGCGCCGGCGGCGCCGACGATGGCGCCGATGACGGCGGCGCCGTCGCCCCGCCCGTGGTGGCCTCGGTGGCGCCGGGCGGGGGCAGCTCGGCCACCACCTCCTCGGGCGCCTCCAGCACCTCCTCGAGGCACGGGGCGTGGCCGGGCGTGGCCGGCGGGGGGCGGGGCTCTGTGGGGCGCGGCCCGGGCCAGGGGCACGGCGTAGTTGTGCTCCAGCAGCACGGGGGGGGTCCCGGTTTGGGGGTGCCGGGGGTCCCTCGGGGGCGTCGCTGTCGCCGTCCCCGTCGCTGTCGCCGTCGCCGTCCCCGCGGGTGAGGGCGATGGCGGCCAGCACCGCCAGGTCCCCGCCCGCGGCCGGCTGGGCCCCGCCCCGCTGGGGGTGTGGCGGGTGGGCGTGGCCGGCCCCACCCCGCGCCAGCTCCAGCAGCGAGGACGCCCCCAGGTGCTCGGCGGGGGCGCGGCCGGGCGGGACGGGGCGCCGGGGCGGGGCGGGGCGTCGGGGCGGGGGGGGCGATCCCGGCTCCGCCCCCGCAGAGGGCGGGGTCGTCGTTGCCGCCGGCCCCGCCCCAGCTCTTGACGAGAGAGGCGTGGTCGGCCGGGAGGTTGGACACCGGCCGGGGAGGGGGCGGGGCCGCCGGCGGGGGGCGGGGCGGGTCCCTGCGGCGGGGCGGGGCCGGGGGAGGGGGCGGGGCTGGCGGCGGGAGGGGTTTGGGGAGGGCGGGGCTGGAGCTGGGGGCAGGGCCGGTGCTGGGGGCGGGGCCGGCGGCAGGCGGGGGCGGGGCCGGCTCCTCGGGCTTGCGGCGCTTCTTGGGCGGGGGCAGGAGGGGGATGGGCGAGGAGGGGCGGGGCGGGGGGGGGCGGGGCTGCAGAGAGAGAGAGGGGGGAGGGGTCAGTCGGGGGGGCCACCCCAGAAATGAGGGGAGACCCCTCCCAAAATCCGGAGAGACCCCGAAATTCAGATAAACCCCCCAAAATGCGTGGCGACCCTAAAATCCGGGGAGACTCCCCCAAAATCAGTGGAGAAACCCCAAAACTCAGAGAAACCCCCCCAAAATGAGGAGAGACCCTGAAACTTACGGAGACCCCAAAATCCAAGGAGACCCCAACATCTGAGGAGACTGCAAAACTCAGCGAGACCCCAAAATCCCGGGATTTCCCCCCAAAACACGAGTGTGCGAGGAGACCCCAAAATCCCCAGATTTCCTCCCAAAATGAGGAGTGGGGTTCAGTGCAGGAGCACCCCAAACCCCCGGATTTCCCCCCAAACCGTGGCTCTGTGGGGCAGGGGGCGCTCACCGGGTCTGGGCTCGGGGGGCCGGGCGGGCTCCGGGCGCTCTTCGGCCTCGTCCTCGGAGGATGATGAGGACGACGAGGACGATGACGACGATGAGGACGAGGACGAGGATGACGATGATGAAGATGGGGGCGCCGAGGAGGAGCTGCTGCCCCGCCCCCCCTCGTACAGCGAGAGCTTGGAGGAGCCTTCGCTGCTGCCCTCGGCCTCCTCCTCCTCCTCCTCCTCCTCCTCCTCCTCCTCCTCCTCCTCCTCTGTGGGGACAATGGGGGGACACCGGGGCTCGGTCACCCGCGCTGGGTCTGCCCAAAGCGTCCCCAGTGTCCCCAAACCTCCCCGATTTGTCCCCCAGTGTCCCCAAATGTCCCCAATCCCTTTGATGTCCCAAATGTCCCCAAATCTCCCTGGTTTTTCCCCAAATTTCCCCGTTTTGTCCCTAAATTTGGTACTGTGTCCCCTCCTGGGGGGGGTCCTCAATGTCCCCATTTGCCCCCAAATCCCCCCATTTTCACCCCAAATTACCGTGTCCCCTCCTGGGGGGGGTCCCCAATGTCCCCAATGTCCCCAATCCCCCCAATATCCCCAAATCTCCCTGATTTGTCCCCAAATGTCCCCAAATCCCCCCATTTTCTCCCCAAATTACCGTGCCCCCTCCTGGGGGGGTCCCCAATGTCCCTGTTTGTCCCCAAATGTCCCCAAATCCCCCGTTTTGTTCCCAAATTTGGTACCATGTCCCCTCCTGGGGGGGGGACCCCAATGTCCCTGTTTGTCCCCAAATCTCCTGTTTTGTCCCCAAATTTGGTACCGTATCCCCTCCTGGGGGGACCCCAATGTCCCTGTTTGTCCCCAATGTCCCCAAAATCCCCCATTTTCACCCCGTTTTGGTACCGTGTCCCCTCCTGGGGGGCGTCCCCAATGTCCCTGTTTTGTCCCCAAATGTCCCAAAATCTCCCATTTTGCCCCCGTTTTGGTACCGCGTCCCCTCCTGGGGGGAGGGTCCCCAATATCCCCATTTTGTCCCCAATCCCTTTGATGCCCCCAAAATCTCCCATTTTCACCCCATTTTGGTACCGCGTCCCCTCCTGGGGGCGTCCTCAATGTCCCTATTTTTCTCCAATGTCCCCAAAATCTCCTGTTTTCTCCCCATTTTGGTACCGTGTCCCCTCCTGGGGGGGGTCCCCTCCTCTCGCCGTCCCTGCGGGCGCCCCCCGGGGGGGGGGAGGGGCGCCTCGCCCTTCCTCCCCCTCCTCCTCCTCCTCCTCCTCTGCGCCGCCGCTTCGGCCTCGCGCTCCTCCTCCTCCTCCTCCTCCTGGGGGCGCACAGGGGGCGTCAGGGGGGATTTGGGAGAGTTTAGGGGGGATTTGGGGGGAATTGGGGAAATTGGGGGATTTGGGGGGATTTGGGGAAATTGGGGGAGAAATTGGGGGGACTGGGGGGAGTCCTGGGGGGACTTGGGGGGCAATTGGGGGAAATCGAGGGAGTTTCGGGGGGGATTTGGGCGGAAACTGGGGGGATTTGGGGGAAACTGGGGGAATTGGGGGAGAATTGGGGGGTTTGGGGGGTCCTTGGGGGAGAATTGGGTCAGTTTTGTGGGGGGATTGGGGGAGAAATTGGGGGAAATTGAGGGAGTTTCGGGGGATTTGGAGGGAAATTGGGGGATTGGGGGGTCCTGGGGGGGATTTGGTGGGAACTGGGGGGGAATTGGGGGAAATTGGGGGGATTTGGGGGAAACTGGGGGATTTGGAGGGAGTTTGGGGGGTCCTGCTGGGGGGGGGATTTGGAGGAGTTTGGGGGGGATTTGGGGCGTTTCGGGGGGGATTTGGGTGGAAATTGGGGGGATTTGGGGTAGTTTGGGGGCTCCTGGGGGGGGGATTTGGGGGAGCCCTGGGGGGTTTGAGGGAAATTTGGGGAAAACTGGGGGGGTTTGGGGGAAACTGGGGGGATTTGGGGGGGGGTCCCGTGCTAGTTTATTTGGGGAGGGGTCCCACCTTGGCCGAGGATGACTCCTCGCAGGGTCAGGGTTTTTGGGGGGAGGCTCAGGGGATTTTGGGGGATTTTAGGGTCCCAGAGGATCGCAGTTTTTTGGGCTGATTTCAGGGGTTTTTGGGGAGTTTTTGGGGGTCAGTTTTTGGGTTAATTTGGGGAGGGGTCCCACCTTGGCCGAGGACGACTCCTCGGACGCCTCCTCGCCCTCGCTGTCCAGCCGGAAAAGCTTCCGGCGCTTCCCGGGGCCCTCGGGGCGCGGCAGCTCCTTCTCTGCATTTTGGGGCGAATTCGGGGGATTTTGGGGTTTTTTTTGAGAGGTTCGGTGTTTTTTGGGGTTTTTTTGGGGTTTTTTGGGAGGGGTCTCACCATCCTCATCCTCCTCAGGGGGGGTCGGGGGCCGGGGTCTCTTCTCCTCCCCCCCCTCGCCCAGCTCCGATGGCTCTTTCCGCTTCACCTGGGGGGAAACCGCGAAAAAATGGGAAAAAACGACAAAAACGGGCAACAAAGGGACAAAAATGGGGAAAAGGGACAGAAAAATCAGGAACAAACAGAAAAAAAAGGAGAAAAAAATCCCTGAAACCCCAAAGACCCTCCCAAAAAGGGACACCCCCATGAAACCCCAAAAAAGGGACACCCAGCCCCCCAAAATCCCCCCAGGAGCCCCCAAATCCCCCCAATTTCACCCCAAACCCCCCAGTTTCAGCCCAAAAGCCCCAATTCTGCCCAATTTCAACCCAAAAGCCCCAATTTTGCCCAATTTCAGCCCAAAAGCCCCAAATCCCCCCAAATGCCCCAATTTTGCCCATTTTTTGCCCAATTTCCCCCGTTTTTGCCCCAAACCTTGAAGGATGGCAGCCTCAGTGCCCCTCTGAGCCCCGCGCCCACTCCACGAGGGACAGCAGCGCCCCCCAAGCCCCAAATTGCCCAATTTCAGCCCCAAATCCCCCCAATTTCACCCCAAAGCCCCGTTTTTTGCCCAAATTCCCCCATTTTTGCCCCAAACCTTGAACGAGGGCAGCCTGAGGGCCCCCCTGAGCCCCGCGCCCCCCGCCCCGCGCCCCACTCCACGAGGGAGAGGAGGGCCGGGGGCGGCTCCTTCGGCCTCGCCCCGCTCCGGGGGCTCCTCCCGGCCCCGCCCCGACTGGAACGGCTGAAATGGGGAGAAATTAGGCAAATTAGGAAATTTGGGCATTTTGGGGGAAATCAGGAGGGTTTGGGGGAAATTGGGCGGTCAGGGGCAAAACGGGGGATTAGGGAAATTGGGGGATTTGGGGGGGAAAACGGGGGGGGGGGGTCCTTGGGGGGGGTTTTGGGGTATTTCAGGGCACATTTTGGGGTGAGTTTAGGGACACATTTTGGGTCACATTAGTCTGATTTTGGTCCCTCTCTGAGCTTGACCCGCTCCTCCTCGCGCATTTTGGGGCAGTTTTAGGGTGCTTTAGGACAGGTTTGGGGGACAACTTTGGGACACATTTTGGGGCAGTTTTGGGGCAGTTTTAGGGTGCTCTAGGACAGGTTTCAGGGCGGTTTAGGGACACGTTTTGGGGTGATTTCAGGGTAATTTCAGCCCCACCTTGACCTGCTCCTCCTTACGTGCTTTGGGACATGCTTCAGGACACGTTTTGGGTCAGTTTAGGGTGTTTTAGGGCAGGTTTCAGGGCAGGTTTTGGGGCGTTTCAGGGCAGGTTTTGGGGCGTTTCAGGGCACATTTTGGGGTGTTTCAGGGCAGATTCCGTCCCCACCTTGACCTGCTCCTCCTTGCGCATTTTGAGGTGGTTTTGGGGCAGGCTTAGGGCAGGTTTCAGGGCAGGTTTTGGGGCGTTTCAGGGCAGGTTTTGGGGCGTTTCAGGGCACATTTTGGGGTGTTTCAGGGCAGATTCCGTCCCCACCTTGACCTGCTCCTCCTTGCGCGTTTTGAGGCGGTTTTGGGGCGGTTTTGGGGCAGGTTTCAGGGCAGGATTTGGGGTGTTTCAGGGCACGTTTTGGGTCGGTTTTGGGGCAGGCTTAGGGCAGGTTTCAGGGCAGGATTTGGGGCGTTTCAGGGCACATTTTGGGGCGTTTCAGGGCAGATTCCGGTCCCACCTTGACCTGCTCCTCCTTGCGCTCCCACCAGGCGTCGAAGGCGCGGAAGGCCACGTTCTCCACCATCTTCCTGTTGAGGTCCCTCTGCATGGTGGCCTTCATCTCGTGCACCAGCGCCGCCAGGCACGCCCTCCACGGGCCCCCCGCCCCAATTGGGGGCCGCGCCCACCCCGGGGGGCTCCGGGGGGCGGGGCAAGGGCGGCGGGGGCGGGGCCCGGGTCCGTTCCCGGGGGGTCGCTCCTCCCCGAATTGGGGGGGAAAAAGGCGGGAAATGCGGGGTCGGGGCGAAAGGGGGTGGGGCGAAGGGAGGCACGCCCACCCCGAATGGAGGCGGGGCTTTTGATGCCCCGCCCCCTCCGGCCGAGGGGCGGAGCCTGCTCAGCAGCTGCGTCTGCAGCTGGAACGGGGGTGGGGGAGGGGGCACCACGCCGGCCCCGCCCCCCGCGGCCCCGCCCCCCGCGGCCCCGCCCCCCGCCCAGCGCGCCCCGCCCCCCGCCCCGCCCCCCCCCAGGCGCCCCAGGAGCTCGAACAGCGCCGGGGGGGAGGGGAGGCCCCGAAATCGGGCGGGGGGAGGGGCCGCGGCGGGGGGAGGGGCACGGCCATGAGGGGGGGCGGGGGGGGCGGGAACGAGGGGGGAGGGGGCGGGGACGGGAAGGGGGAGGGGGGCAGCGGGGGGGGGCGGGGCCCTCGGCGGCGTCGTCCGAGGAGATTTCCATGTCCTCCCCCGAGGAGAGCTGCGGAAACGGGGCAAAATCACCCTAACAAATCGGGGCCGGGGAGGGGGGAGGCACAGACAGAACCCAAAATATCTGAATCGCACCCAAAAAACGTTACAAACGCCCACTGAAATGCCCCAAATCCACCCCCAAAAACCTCCGCGCTCCCCACAAAACTTTCCAAATTCCTTCATAAATGTCCCAAATCCCCCCAAAACGTCCCAAACCCCCCCAGTTCCCCTAAACCCCCTCAAACTCCAACTCCGGTACCCAAATGCCCCCCAACCCCCCCCAAAATCACCCAAATCTCCCCAAAACCTCTCAAATCCACCCGAAAGGCCCCAAATCTGTCCCAAAATACCCCCAGGCACCAACTCCAGTACCCAAATCCCCCCAAAACCATCCCAAACCTCCCCGAATCCCCCCAAAAATGTTTCAACCCCCCCAAACTCCCCCAAACCATCCCAAACTTCCCCAGACCCCCCAAACATGCCCCAAACCCCGCCAAAATGTCTCAAATTCGCCCCAAAACCACGCAAATCTCCTCCAAAACGCCAACCTCCCCCCAAACCCACCCCAGACCACCCCATGAACGTCTCGAACCGCCCCGAAACCCCCCAGACCCCCCAAAATCACACCCCAAAAAGTTCCAAATTGCCCCCAAACCTGCCCAAGACCCCCAAACCCCCTCCCAGACCCCCCCCCAAAATGCCCCCCCCACTCTCCCCCCCCCCCCCCCCCAATTTTCCCCTCCCCCACTCACCCCGTCCGTCCCGTTCTCCCGGGGGGGACTCCTCGCTGGGGGGGGTGGGGGCGGGGCCGCTCCCTCCTCCCCTCCCCCTGCTCCCGCCCCTCCCCCATCCTGGGGCGGCTCCTGGGGGGGCGGCTCCTCGCGCGGGGGGGCGGGGCCTCCCGCCGGCCCCTCCCCCTCCATTATCATCATCGGGGTCCCCTCCCCGCCCATCGCGGAGTGGGCGGGGCTCGGCGGCGTGCGGGGCGGGGCGGGCGGAGGGGGCGTGGCCTCGCGGCGCGGCGGCTCCTCCCCGGCTCCTCCTCCTCCTCCTCGCGGGGCGGGGGCGGGGCGAAGAAGGGGTGGGGCTGCCCGCCCTGCAGCAGCGCCTCGATGCGCATGTCCAGGCTGCTGTGCTGCGCGAACGGCACGCTCTCGGGGGTGCCCTCGGGGCCGGGGAGCCCCCCCGCGCCGGGGAGCCCCCCAGAGGCGGCGGAGGGGGCGGGGAGACCCCGCGGGGCGGCGGAGGGGGCGGGGCGAAGGGCAGGAAGGAGGAGGAGCCCGAGGGGGGCGGTGAGGCGGGGGGCGGCGCGAGGGGAAGGGCGAGACCACGCCCACGCCGCCGGAGACCAC